TAATAATAATAATAATAATAATAATGGAATAATAATATATTATAATTGCAATAATAAAATTGTAAGTGAAATTTCAAAATTTAAATTTTTGCGCTTTTCTGACACGTAGTGTCACCTGCTAGAAGCATATAGGCGCATTAAGTTCACAGCCGGCAATGCAATGAAAATAATCCACACTAAATATTTACAACAAATATTCATTATTATTATTATTATCCTTATTATTTTTATCATAATTATATTTTGATTTTCGCATCCTTTCTGGAATAATAATATGTTATAATTATAATAATAAAATTTTGATTGAAATTTTGAAGTTTGAATTTTCGCGCGCTTTATAAGATATAAATATAAATTTTTATAAATAGCTATAAGTTTCGCATGCTTTTTAAACAGAAAAATTTTATTTATTACTATGATTATTATTATGATGATAATAAAATTTTGATTGAATTTTTAAATTTAAAATTTCGCGCGTTTTTTTAAATTAAAATTATAATAATTCATATTAGTCATCGCGCTGTATTTACTCAATATTATTTCGATTGAGAACCAGTTTTCTAAATAATTAAATAATAGTCTTGATAATAATATTAACAAATATAATAATAATGATAATAATATACAAATAATGTGAATAATAAAATAATAATGGAATATTAAGTGAAATAAAATTATATTTACTTATTTTAAGAATACCCGAAATTAAATAGTAAATGAATTTAAATTTGAATTAACCGCCTAATTTGTCAGACTTGCTGAGTGCATCTAGAGGCAATGCAGTTAACAACCGGACAAGTAATTCAAATCATGTACAAGAACAATAAATTTGGATTGAAATTTTAATAAAATATTTGAAATAATTCGAATTCGTACTTTTCTGACAGGTAGTGTCACCTGCTGGATGCTTTTAGTAGCATCACAGTCCGTATCCGGAAAAGGAATGAAAACGATCCACAATAAATATTTACATCAAATATTTACAACAAATATTCATTATTATTATTAAATTAAATAATTATGATAATAATAATAATAATAATAATAATAATGATAAAACGTTAAATAGAATGAAATTGCATTTAATTATTTTACTAATACCCGCAATAAAATTTTATATGGATTCAGATTTGAATTAACCGCTTATTTTGTCAGACGTCCAATGGAAATGGAGTGACTCTGATACTATACCGTAGTAGTAGTAGTATATTATCCTCAGAGCATTGAATTGTACCAACTTAAAAATCTAGAGCAGAGTAACTATCCGCAGAGGATCTCAGATGCCAAATGGAAATGGACTAACTCTGATACTAAACATGTACTATCAGCATCGAACTAAACTGTACCAACTTCGAAATAAAAAATTCGACCGAAATTAGTAAAATCTCTCGTAGAATCGAAAAACGGGGGACCGAAAATTTTATAAATTCAGATAACAATAAATAATGAAAAAAACAATAAAAATTTTGGTGTTTTATAAAAAGGACTAATAATTAAACTATTTAAAGTGAGTGTAAAGTGTTGTTATGAACGTAGTAATAAAATAAATCGAGTTAAAAATATGGTGAGGTTATGTTGACATCTGACTCGGGAATAGAGGCACAGTAACCTACACGTTCACATATGTTGTTGAACGTGTACTTGGCTTGAGGCACTATTGTGCCTCCGGATATATATATATGTGTGTGTGTGTGTGTGTGTGTGTGTGTGTGTGCGTGCGTGTGTTTTTTTTTTGGGGGGGGGAATCCTTTTTACGGATTCTAGGCATAGTTGTTGGCCTCATTATGTGGCGACTCGACGCAGCGTCATACTAATACTCGACGCTAACGCGCCTACCCACTAAACCCTAAACCCCTTTTCCTTCTCTCCTCTAATCCCTCATGGAAACCGCCGTCAGGCATTACTTCATGAAGGTAGGATCTAGCTACTGCTCTTCCTTCTGGTGGCTAAGGTGTTAACTACCTTCCTTCTATCTTCTACTATTTGCTCTTCTTCTTTCGGTGGAACGCAAGTCTTTGAGGACTTCTGTTGCAAACGTGTTGTTGGTAGCGTTCCAGGCAGCTTCTGATGACAACATTGCTTCCACTAGTGAATCTGGTTGCATTCTCTGGTTCAGGATCCTCTCCAACTCTTCACGCTGTGGATCGAAACGAGGACATACAAAGAAGACGTGCTCCGCATCTGCAGCAACTCCTGGGCAGGGCGGGCACTCCGAAGAGTCATCGTGCTTAACGCGGTGTAGATACCCTCGAAAACACCCATGTCCCGACAACATCTGCGTAAGATAGTAATTGACCTCACTGTGATTCCGGTTAAGCCAAATGTCGATCCGAGGTTAAGATAATAAATAAGAAGGTATTCCAATCCTGCAATGCATGATGGGAAATGTGTCAAGCGGTCGCGCCACCACGAGTGTGTCAGACACACTAACCGGCAACTAACGTATTTTCATGCTAACTCTCGCAATAATAATAAATTTTATTTAAAAAATAATCATTGCATAAAAAAATTATTTTCACCCTTTAACAATAATAATAAATTATAATAATTAAATAAAAACCTTTTTATAACTTTTTTTATTGTATCCGTAAATTCTCCAGTTAAACTGGTTTTTTCTAAACGCAGTTTATCATTTACCTCTTACATCTCCATGGTAAACTTTACTGTAGCGCCCACACTTTTTGATAACTTTTCATTTACCAAGTCCGGGTTCGAAACTCGACAGTTCTGATATTTTTTTTTTTTGCATTTATTGTATAGTTTTATTATAATTTTTTTAATCCAATAGATTCTCAGGTCTTATACTGAACGTATTACTATTAATAATTAATAATTAATTAAAAAAATTATTATTATTTATTAATAACTAGTAAAAATAAGTAGATTATATGTAAGAATAAGTAGATTAGAGCTCGTCTAATAACAAGTAAGTAATTAGTATGTATACAGTCATTTTAATTTATTGAAATTTTTATGAAAATGTTATAGTAAATATGATGAACAATATCGGGTTATATTAACAATGAAATTTTTAGCAATTCAAATGCTACTGGTGGGAAATTTCGAATTCAACGTTACCCTTATGAGGTATCTGATTGTATTTATTAATTGCAAATTATTTCTTATCCTAATTAATTTATATTTTTATAGAAATTATAGTGACAATTATTTGTCCTTAAAAATATTTATTTATTTATGTGTATAGAGAAATGAAAATTTTCAATTTATTTGATTGATACAAGTAGTATAGAATTTCGCGATTGTCATTTGTTTAAAAATGTCGATTTGTTATTTTTTTAATGTTTTGTTGTTGAAAGTGTGTATTGAAGAGCTAAATTTAGTAAGTATGGATATTTATTTTTAATAAATCTGCATTTGGATAACTTTTTATTGTATGTAACAATATCTAAACTAATATTTATCAACGCAGATCATGGGTGGATGTAGCTTTCCTGACTGTCATAACAGCAGTGAAAAGGGTTTTAAAATGCTGAGGTTTTTTTATTCAGTTGAGATGAGAAGTAAATGGACATCTGCTTGTAAAATTTCAAAACTCATTACTGAGAATTCTCGTTTGTGTGAGGTATTTACCACCATGATAAAAAAAGTAACTTGCCTGACGAAAAAAAATCTTGAACCAATAAAAAAAGCTATTTGGAAAAGAATAATTTTTCTGAGTGAAGAGAAAAAATTTTTAATTTTAGATAATACTCTTCGTTTCACTACATTTTTCTAAATTCAAAAAATTTTCCTTTTTTGGCTCAAAAAAATTATTCTATTCCACAAGGTTTTCTTGTTTAAAAATTTTATCTCTTTTGGGTCAAGTTAAATTTTTTATCAGTGTATACACGGAAAAAAAAGTATAAAAAACGATAACAGTTACATCGTAATCCAGAAGTAGACTTTTAACATCTTTCCTTTAACAATTTTATTTTAAAATTCTGGTCTTGGATTATGATGTGATTATTATAATAATTTTTGAAACAATTTCTTTCTTTTTTTCTAGTGTAGTTGAAAAAGCTGTCAGGTTTTACTCCATAATATTTTATAAGGTCACTTTATAAATAAAATAATCAATACTTTTTTCTCAATTATTAACAGGGTCATTTTAGCAAAGGGTTGTTTGACTGTGACAACCACTTATACAAATTGAAAAAAAATGTTACACCAGACATTTTAATTCCGTCTCCCGGTAAACCTTTTGATGTTTTTGAAACTGATGATGATAATGATAATCATTATTCAGTTAAGAGCAATAGACATAAATCTAGAGTGTCCTGATCGATCGTAGGTGAGTGATATGATATCTTTTTAAATTAATTATTATATATTATTAAGCAAATGTAATTAAAAATTATTTAAATTAATTTTATTATTCCATGTAAACCAGCTAGCATTTGAAATATAAAATTTTGTATTCATTGTATAATTATTACCAATTGATAATTATCATTATGATTTATTTAATTGTTGGTTGGGTAGTGAAATTAAAAAGAAAAAATAATTATTTGTTGTTTTGTTATGTATGTGAAACTTCTCGTTTATTGTAGCATGATGATTCTAATAATAAAATAATACTGAATAATATATTATAAATAAGTTAAATTTGTCATCAATATTTTTTTGAAAAAGTTATGGTATGGGCTTCTATATACACAAATGTATTTCAGTTTTGATTTTTAATTTATATACTTATTATTCTTACACGCATACTTGGAAAAAAAGAAAAATTTCTTGACTGGAGAATAAAATAATTCTTAGTTCTAGAAAACTGGTCTTCTTCCGCAAACAGCTATGACCACTGGGTGGTTTATTTTGTTATGTAGTCAGTGGTATGAGTTCATGGTTTGTCGGCACAAAAGTAACTCACTTGGAACTGATGGCGTATCGTTAGAACGAGTAGAGTTTCTACACAGCTTTATTGAAATTATCAGAGAACTACAAGTTAGCTCTGATAATAGATGGAAACCGATACAACAGGGCATCATTCTGGCTACTACTACTGCGTTAAAATTACGAGAAGATCTAGTTCAGACAAAAAAAATGGAGTACCTTCTTACGGGGCGTTTGACTTCTAGTTCTGTAGAAAATTTATTTTGTCAGGTTCGAGCTGGTGGTGATATTCACCCTAAACCTCGCCAATTACGCTACCGAATGCGCTTGATTGCTTTGGCTCAGTATTTACGTGTCCCTGCGTCTGCGTCATATGAAGACGATGATGAGCCGTACTACATTGAATTTCTCAAGAAAAAAAAACTGAACTCCAAACTACTAATGATGATTCACAAAATTTCCTTGAAGTTCCGGAAAATTGTGAATTATCTGAAATACAAAACTATGGGCTTTATTACCTTTGTGGTTGGGCAGTGTTTGCATGTACGAACGGTTGTAATGATTGTGAGGCAGCAATAATCTCTTCAGTTCCTTTGCCTTACGCGAGTACGGCTTGGACGGATGCAATCAATCGAGGAAACTTGAAACATCCGACAGAGACAGTATATACACTTTTGAAGACTGCGGAAGAAGTTTTTGCTACTTACAGAAAATCTCTTCTCCATTTGCAATCTGTGCATGAAAAAGTAATGAAGAGTGTCCTGGAAACTGCCGATCATTCATTAGTCTTCCCAAAATGTCATGGTATTCGCGAGAAAATACTCGGAAAATTTATCTCATTGCGACTCCATGTTCTCGTAAAAGACATTACAGTGCAACCTGATAATCCCAATGTTGTAGTCTTCAGCTCTAAGAACGCATATATGCGCACGTCAACAAAAATCGTCCGCAAATAAGTTAATTATACTACATTATTTATTCTTCTTTCTCAATAAAATTAAAACTTTCAATTTTTAAAAGTTACTTGTTGGGTAACAAAATTTTATACATATATAAGTCCTTAGCATAAATATATTTTATCTATATATACTGTCCATCATATTTTCTATTGTAATACGTTGAATTTGTTGATTTGATCAATAATAATTTCATATATTTTACACAAAAACTTCAAAAAAATTATTTATTTCAATAAATTCAAATGACTGTATACATACTAATTACTTACTTGTTATTAGACGAGCTCTAATCTACTTATTTTTACATATAATCTACTTATTTTTACTAATAATTAATAAATAATAATAATTATTTAATTTAATTATTAATTATTAATAGTAATACATAATTTATTTATACATATACATAAATTTAATGATAAATAGTTTATTAATTTAAAATAATAATTGATTGAATTATTAATAGTAATACGTTCAGTATAAGACCTGAGAATCTATTGGATTAATAAAAATTATAATAAAACTATATAATAATTGCAAAAAAAAAAAAATATCAGAACTGTCGAGTTTCGAACCCGGACTTGGTAAATGAAAAGTTATCAAAAAGTGTGGGCGCTACAGTAAAGCTTACCATAGAGATGTAAGAGGTAAATGATAAACTGCGTTTAGGAAAAACCAGTTCAACCGGAGAATTTACGGATACAATAAAAAAAGCTATAAAAAGGTTTTTATTTAATTATTATTATTTATTATTATTGTTGAAGGGTGAAAATAATTTTTTTATGCAATGATTATTTTTTAAATAAAATTTATTATTATTGCGAGAGTTAGCATGAAAATACGTTAGTTGCCGGTTAGTGTGTCTGACACACTCGTGGTGGCGCGACCGCTTGACACATTACCCATCATGCATTGCAGGATTGGAATACCTCCTTATATATTAATCTTATCCGAGGTATGAGACAGTGCGTCCACCTACCCTTCTCTGCAGCATCCCATTGTAGTTGCTATCGGCCTATGCTCTTCTGCCGTTCTTCAATTCTAAGTTCTTCAGTGCAGTTGACGTTTTTCGTTGGTAAAGGGCCCGTCTTTCCTCTGCTAGAACTCTAAGAGGTAGGGTTCCAGCAATGACGCACACTGCTTCTTCTGATATAGTGCGGAAGGCACTAGCTACTCGTAGGGCAATTAGCTGGTATATTGGTCCAGCTTTTCTCCAAGATTCTTGGGTTTCCAGTGCATCAGCCTAAATAGATATTCCGTAAGTGAGCACTGATATGACTACTGATGACAATAATAGCCTCCTGCTCTGCATTGGGCCTCCGATGTTAGGCATCAGCCGTGCGAGACTAGCCCTCACTACTGACGCTTTGGCACTGACATGTTCCACCTGCTGCTTGAAGTTGAGTCGTGCATCAGCATCACTCCCAGATAACGGATAAATGGTTGTGATATGATTTCTTGTTCTCCGACGCTCAACTTAATGGTTTCTACCGTTTTTCTGCTCGTGATGAGCACTGCCTCGGTTTTATGCTTGGCTAGTTGCAAGTTCATCATGTCCATCCACAAATTGACTCGTCTGAATGTAATATCAAATGCCATTTCTATCTCTTCGAGGTGCTTTGCGACGATCACGACAGCTACGTCATCCGCATATGCTACAAGTTCGACCCCCGTGAGCAATGCTATTCTCAGGAGGCCATCATACATGATGTTCCATAGCAGAGGACCTAAGACTGATCCCTGTGGCACTCCTCCGGAGATTTCGTACACTTCCGTACCGTTCTTGGTGTTATATTTCAGGACCCTATTCGTGAAGTAACTCGCTACTATTCTGCGGAGGTATCTTGGTAGGTTTTTTTCCTCTAGAGCCCGCATAACGCAGTCCCAGTTAACGGAGTTGAAGGCATTCTTGATGTCCAAAGCAGCCACCAAGCAGTATTTCTTCTTTCCACTCTTCCATTTCGTTCCAGCGATTGCATCCTTGGCTGTATCAACAACCAATTTGATTGCATCCAGAGTTGACCGTCCTTTTCGGAAACCGAACTGGTTCTCTGCCAGGAGTGGATCAACTAAAGCCTCTATTCTCTGATGAATTATGCGTTCGAATATCTTGCCGGCCGTGTCTAACATGCAGAGTGGTCGGTAGGATGATGGTTCTTCCGGCGGCTTTTTTCCCTTTGGAAGTAACACTAGCCGATGCTGTTTCCACTTCTGGGGAAAAGTCCCTTCCTTCAAGCATGTATCGTAGACGTCCAGGAATAATATCGGTGATGCCCTAAGGATTGATTTCAGGGCAATATTAGGGATTCCGTCCAATCCCGGTGCCTTATTATTCCCTACTCGATTGCCTGCCTCTATCAATTCATCCAACGTGATAGTTAGAATGTCTTCAGGGTTGCGCTGCTCCAATTTGTGGGTGAATACCGGCTGTTGGGGAAACAACGCAGTAACAATCTTTTCTAGGAGCTGTGGACACGTAGGTGATGGCATTGGCTGGCATTTCAGGTGGGTCATTACCACCTTGTAGGGTCTGCCTCATGGATCTTTCTCGACTTCTGCGACCAGTTCCTTCCAGCATCGTCTTTTGCTTTCTTTGATGGCTCTGTTCAGTTCTCGACGGGCCTTTTTATACTCTGCCAACAGCTCTGCAGAGTTAGGTCGACTATAGCCACGCTGAGACTTTCTTCTTTTTTTAAGACACTCTGAGCGTACAGTGCTAATGTGATCGTTCCACCAGTGCACCGAAGGTCTTGAGTTCATGCCACGTTTCCGAGACATACTAGCGTCGCAAGCCTGGGTGACTCTTCTCATTAGGTCCTTGGTCTTCTCTTCAGCAGTTTATACCATGATTGGATCGCAGTCTAAGGCTACTGAAGCAGTGGGGTCTTTAACTTTCCACCCAACCGCGCTAGTGATCCTGTTGTCTCTTGTTAGTTTCTGGCCAGTTGATATTTCCCATAGTATCACACAATGGTCACTGGCTGTGTAGATGTTCAATACTTTCCAAGAACAACCTCTTCGGGCTAAGCAACTGCTGACAAATGTGAGGTCGACAATTGAGCTTGCGTCTCACTTGGTATAGGTTGGCGTGTCACCGGTGTTAAGAAGGATCACGTCCAGTGTGGCCATTGCCTCAAGAAGTACTTCTCCACGTGTATTAGTGAACTTGCTGCCCCAGTCTGCTGCCCAGGAATTGAAGTCACCAGCTATTGCCACGGGAAAGTGTTTTCTTGCGTCCTCAGTTTGCCGATCAAGGAAGTCTTCAAACTGTTTATTAGAGAGACTAGGTGGTGCATATCAGCTGTAGAAGCGGAGGCCATCTACCCATGCTGCTACGAAGCCGGCTTCTTTGTTGTGTGCTGTTCTCTGAAAAGGACATTTACCGCAGGACCAGATGACGCTTTGTTATTGCTGTCGGATTCCCAGGGTTGATTACTCAAGTGTCTATAAGGCTCACTTATAAGTGCTACGTCTGCCTCTAATTCGCGC